GAACACTGGGGGGAGACTATCCCCTGGTGTTTTAAAGGCCATGAAAACCAGCCAGTCGCATAATAATTATAATGATCACACATACATAGCTATGAATTAATTCAAAGCATTGCAGAAAAGAAGGATGTTCACTAAAAATAATAACTCCGGTACAGATCGGCACTTTCTTACATCCCCCAGCATAGGGCTGTTAGCAGGATTGAACGTAGGACATTTACCACCGCCTGCTGAACTAAAAGAATAGCTCCTTTTGTTGACAGCATTAGCAGTCTGTTATCCTCTACAACAGTGGTTCCCAAACTTGTTCCGCCGCTTGTGCAGGGAAAGCCCCTGGTGGACCGGGCCGGTTTGTTTACCTGCCGCGTCCGCAGGTTCGGCCGATCGCAGCTCCCAGTGGCCGTGGTTCGCTGCTCCAGACCAATGGGAATTTGGGAGATCCTACCTTCAAGACCTTGTCATCATCCATCCAGACAACACTACTACTACACACACACACACACACACACACACACACACACACACACACACACACACACACACACACACACACCCCAAAATGTCTCCAAACATACACTGTGTATTTACCACACATTTCACAAGACATCTAGCTTTCCTGCAGGGCCTGGGTATTTGTCTCCTTTTCTCCTGTCCTCCCTAGCTGTCCCCTTTCCTTTCTCTGCTACACTTATTTCTTCTCCCTCTATGACATTCATTCCCAATCCTTCATCTTCCTACTCTCTCTCTGTTCTTTCTGCAACTTCTGCAATCTGCTTGCTCTCCTCAACCTGTGGCATAGTATGGAGCCCCAACCAGGTGGTGATGGAATACCTCCTAACCTTGAAGGTAATTTCGGCTCCTGAAACACGATCATGGAGATATGACACCAGGGGCTTATCTGCTCTGTGTGGCAATGCGCACCCCATGGGTGTGAATAATCATGTGCACCAACATGTTGTGATTCACTGGCCCATGTAGACCCTGCTGGTGTGCACTAAAAGTTCCCAAATGATAATTAGCATAGTCCTGTTTCAAACAGTACTATGTGAACACACGGTGGTTTACTCTGGAGTTCACACACGGTGGTTTACTCTGGAGTTCACACACCACTATCACCCTATGTAGAGAAGTCCATAGAGCTGGATGAAGTTTTTCAGTGCAAACTGCAGATTTGACAACACCCAAAAGTTTCATGAATTCTCGCTGGTTTCACCAAATGGTTTCACTCAGAAAACACACAAACAAACCTCCTTAAAACCCTAAAATAAAATCTGAAAACAAACCAAACTTTGAGAGTTTTTGGTTCAAAATGACCTTTTCATTTCAAACATTCTTTCCATTTTATTATAAACAAACCAACAAAACCCCAATCAAAACTGCTTAAAAATGGCCAATGTCCACATAAAATGCTTCATTTGACCTGAAACAATTTTTTTTTTGGTTGTTTTTACTTTTTGATTCACTGAAAAAAATCAGTCTGGGTTTAACCCAAAACGCTAGGTTTCGGGGGTTTTTTCAGAATTGCCAGCAAACTGAAAAATCCAAATAACCAAACAGCTGTTTGCTGAATTCTAACGACACACAGCAAATGAGACATGCGGACACAGAGAGCCCAGTTAAGTTTGAGAGCAAGAGGGCTGGCTAATGCTACCCGGCTTTGCATAGCAAAAGCAGCACCCACCGAACAGACAGTGCTTGTATGCAGCAGCTGCATGGTCTGGAACTGACATGTTGGCCTCTCCGGTTGCCGGCTGCTCTGAGCGGTCCCCATGTGTTATGCTGTTCCCTGCCTTCCACTGGACCCCACTGGGAGGTGCCTCGCTGTGGGAACTCCAGAGACGGAAGCTTTGGAGAGGGGAGCCCAGAGGCACTTCTGCTTCCCTCTGGGCTTGCAAAGTGCCATCCAGCAAAAAAGCGGGGGTGGAATAAATAAATAATTGCAGGTCGCTTGCTCAGCATGGTTGTAAATAGTTCATGAGCTCCCAGAGATTTATTCCCCTCCTCTTGCACTAACGAGCCCATGGAGCCAACCGAGAGCTGGGAAGGTTCACAGCCTCCAAATGGTGCTCGCTGGGGGATAAAGGCAGCGGCACGCTGGGCTGCAGAGATGGGTTCGATCCCGTGACCCCTGCTGGACCAATGGCAGAGGCAGACTGGCTCCTCGGAAGATAACAATCACCAGATTGGATGCATCTTCTTCAGTATTCCAGTGGTGGCCAGCTGTGTCAGAGGAAGGTGAAAGAAACCTTGAATGGGGCAATTATGGATCACCCAACTCCCTCTGGAGCAGCCTCCGCTGGGCGTATGCCCTGCAGCATGAACAGCAGAAGGTGTGTTGGCATCAGAACTGGTCTGTACACTATTACCTAACATCAGTACAGTGCTATAGATGATTCAGGCTATTTCTTACAAATCCTGTATCTGCAATATGATCAGTGCTTTGCAGGCGTAAAAATAAAACAACCCTGCCCCTAATTTCTCTGCAGTCGAATTTAAACAGTTAATGCAAGGAGGAAAGAGAGCAAATGGGCGGGGAAGGTGGGAAGAAAGTGAAAGCTACTTGGAGGCAGGTACCGTAGGAATAGGGGCCTGATGCGTTGAGAGCTGTCTAGTGGTAGTTCTGAGTAAGTAATTCTCAGTGCTTTGACTACACAACCACTGGTGGAACTGGGGAGTAGCTGGGCACAGAGATGTAGCAGGAGGTCAGCCGTGGAGGTGCGGAGGTTTGCGGAGCCTATTGAGGTGCCAATCACACAGGAGGAAGAAGGGTGTTCTGGGCATAGGGGACAGCGTGAAAGAAGTGAGAAGGGGATTCATAGATTCCAAGACCAGACGGGACCATGGTAATCATCTATTTTTCTAATCCTTTAATCATTCTCATGGCTCTTCTCTGACCCCGCCCCAGATTATCAACCTCCTTCTTGAACGGCGGACTCCAGAACTAGACGCAGTGTTCCAGCAGCGGTCACACCAGTGCCAAATACAGAGGGAAAATAATCTCTAGGTCCTAATTGAGATTCCCCTGTTTTATGTGTCCCAGGATTTGCATTAGTCCTTTTGGCCAGGGCATGACACTGGCAGCACCTGTTCAGCTGATTATCCACCACGGGACCCCCAAGCCTTTTTCAGAGTCTCTGCTTCCCAGCATAGAGTCCCCCATCCTATAAGTATGGCCTACATTCTTTGTTCTTAGATGTATACAGTTACATTTAGCCATATCAAAACGCACATTGTTTGCTTGTGCCAAGCGTGCCAGATCTCTCTATATAACCGACCTATCCTCTTCATGATTTGCCACTCTCCCACATCCCGTGTCCTCTGTGAATGTCATCAGTGATGATTTTATGTTTTCTTGCAGAATAAAAACACTAAATAGCAAAGGGGCAAGAACCAATCCCTGTGGGACTCCACTGGAAACACCAGTTTAATGCAGAATCCCCACTTAAAATTACATTTCAAGACCTTTTAGTTACCCAGCTTTTAATCCATTTAATGTGTGCCAGGTTAATTTTATACCGTTCCAGGCTTTTTAATCAAAATGTCATGCGGTACCAAGTCAAACGCTGTACAGAAGTCCAAGTATATTACATCAACACCATTACGCGCTGGCAGAGCATGGTAGGAGATGGGAAAGGAGACAAAGGCAGGCACAGACTCGTGGCGAGCGAGAGCAGTGAAGGTTAGAAAGAGTGTCTGAGGGTGATGGAGGCCTGGAGCAAGGGGACTTGGGGAGAGGGCTGAGGTGGCCGGAGGGGTGGGCAAGGAAGCTGGTAAGGAAGAACTGATCCAACGCTCACCCTGAGCTCTAGAACACAACTTTCATGCTATTTACCAAGGGTTCGTTAGCTCTTCTTGCCAGTTCCCCTTGCTTTCTGGCTTCAGCAGGAAGTGGGCCGGCAGGAGAAAGGCTGTTCTTATGGCAGGAAGCCTTGACAGAAAGCCTCTTCCTACAAAATGTCCAGCCTGTTCTTTGGCGGACTCGGGAGACGTGGCTAGGTTCCATCACTTATCTCTTCCTTCGTGCATTGTGCAAGGCTGTGCTGACATGGCCAAACACGGGTAGGCCCGCGAGGGGGAGAGAGACTTCTTCTGCTTGCTGCTATCCTATCCATAGGCACAAACAATGGTGACCTGACCCACAGCCAGCAGTTGAAGAAGGTGCTGACCACACACTCGGCTCTTCATTTTGTTGACTGAGGTCCCCTCTTCACCTACAAAACATGATGGGGGTATAGCAGTAAAATCTCCCCCATCCCCATATGTTTCACCTCTCTCCTAAAGCCACGGTTATAAGGAGGGGTCCAGTTATTTGGCGATTTTGTGGTGCTGCTAGGATCTGGTCTGAGCTGCACAACACATCCATAAGCTCCCCATCTTGGCTTGGCTGGAAACCAGCAGTGTATAGGCTTTATCGGGCCCCAGAGCCAGCCAGCCTCCCCTGCTAGGTCTCTTTATTATGTTCCTTGACATTTTCAAAGGGTTATATTTCCGCCTGTGAGAACCATCAGTCCAGCAGCACACAGTAATATATGGAGTAATAGAGTCTCGGCACAGCAGGTTTAATCTCATATTGCTGAAGCCCCTGGTGTCCTAGCTGAAGTAAGTTTGTCATTAGGAATTCCTTTCTCCTGTCTGCAAGCTTGTTTTGTTTGGGGTTATTATTTTTCCCCTAAAGAGAAGAGAAACACTCCAGATTGATTTATGACTCTCCCATTTCCTTCCATGCAAAGCAAACTGGCAAGCTCCCAGGAGAGAATGGCCAGCACAGAAGTGTCTTCCCCACCAGTTCCCACCACTGCACTGTGGATCGGTCCCTAACGTTAAGGCCTCTGGGGTCCCACGTGGGGTAAGATTTGTTAGCGGAGGGGGCTGTGACTGCCTTTGCCAAAACAGATTTACTAGCAGTGCTGGGAGCTGTGGAAAGATTAATGATCTACTCTGGTAAATTTAGGAATGCAATGAGAGGGCTGGCTCCGAGGGTGAAGGGCACTGGCGGGAATCTAATCAGGATACGTTTCACAATGGCTGGGTTGGATGCAAACGGACGAGGCTGGGAATAGGAGAGGAGATTCTACTGGTGGGCTGTGCCCTCTGTACCCAGGAAGGGAAAGGGGTGAGAGATGCATTGCTGGAGGCGTTTTAAGCAGGACTTAGCAAATTGCTAGAAGATGCCCTATAGGCAGAGGTGAAAGTAAGCCGGTCCGGTACGGCGTACCAGGAAGAGCTTCCCCAGGCTGGCAATTTAAAGGGTCCGGGGCACCCTGCAGAGGCTGGAGCCCAGGGCCCTTTAAGTCGCCATCTAAGCCTGGCTGCCAGAGCCCCAAGGTAGCGGCAACCAGAGCCCCGGGGCCGTTAAATCGCCCCTGAGCCCCGGGGCTCCCAGCCACCTCTGCAGCTGATAGCTTCGGGGGTGATTTAAAGGCCTCGCGGCTCCCAGCTGCAACTGGAGCCCTGGGGCCTTTAAATCCTGATTTAAAGGACCCGCCTCTTCCGGTTGAGGCCACACCCCTGCTCAGGACTCCGGCGTACCGGTAAGTCCTTTAACTTACTTTCACCCCTGCCTATAGGGAACAGGCCAGTGCCGGCCAGGAGAGGGGCTTGGGCCAGCTGATAGGACTCCCTTTTCCATGGCTGATCTGCATGGCGCTACGCCTCGCTCCTGCACGCACCGGATTCCAGTACAGCTGCGAGCACTCCAAGAGGATGGGTGTGAAAATCCCTAGAGCTAACTGGGCTCTGACAGCCAGATATTCTGGCTTAACTCAACAGAGGGAGTCCAGGAGTGCTGGCTGTTTGGTGGGTCTTGGCTACTCTGGTGGCTCAAGAGAGGTGTTGTGGAATACGCTCGACAGACTGCTGTATGCTCATCATATTGCTAGGAACACAGCCGGCCCTGCTCCATGGATCTGCTAGGAGAGGTGGGAAGAGAGAGAGGTCTGCCTGCCAGTCCCGCAACCAGCTCTGATATCCTCTCTCAGGTTAAATATCACCACAGCATCGAATTCCCTGGCAATTTTTGGAACAGGTACTTTTTGTTCTGTGCCTGTACAGCGCCTGGCACAATGGGGCCTTGGTCCATGACTGAGCTCCTGTTGGCTACACCTCAATACAAATAAAACAACAACAGAAACCTGGGAATGGGGGTGGCTGGGTGTAGGAACCCCAGAGCCTAGACAACTTAGAGAAAGAGCCAAGCATTAGGATCATAAATAGACCCAAGCAGGAGATCCCGCCTTCAAAATCCACCCCCCATCCGGCAAACATTGAGCAAGTTCTGATCCAAACACCACGTCTTGGGCCCATCTCTAATCAGACTGTGCAGCTGCTGGAAGGTTTTTTTTTCTTTCTTTCAGGAATTCGCTTCTCCACTACGTGTGATGGCTTCTTTCCTCCAGAATATGGCCATTCGCAGCATCCTAACTTCTCTGAGGAGAGAGATAAAGAGCAGACAGGAAAGGTGCCAGCACTCTTGGGCTTAATCCATTCAATGCTAGTTGACATTTTCCAGTTGAAATCTCTGGCTCTATCTAGCAGATGATGCTCTGGCAGTTGCGGGAGAGCGAGTCTGGAAAGTTGATTCAATTAGGTGGTTTACTTGGATGTCTTGGCCATGGCAAACAAGGAGCTCAGCTGGCCTCTTTGAAGCCTTTCTATTTCCAATTGAACAACTAATTGCAAAGGCTCAGGGTGCTTCATTTGGTCACCCAGGGGTGTCCTTGCCAGGGGAGGCATGCTAGCCCGGTGGTTCTCAAATGCGGCCATCAGAGGCTTTTCTTGCGGCCACAGCCTTCCTGAGCAGTGATTGGGAGCGGGGGACAAAGCAGTGGCCCCTCCCCAGGGCTGCCCTCTGGAGACACAAATGCTGGAGGAGCAGACAGCCAGTGAGTTCCCCACCGTCCTAGAGGTGGTGGGGTCAGACTTCAGACCTTGGGTGGCGGGCAGCAGACTCCAGCCGTGGGACTTTGGGCTCTGACTGCATAGTGGCGGGCTCCATCCCACAGCCGCAGGGCTTCGGGCTGGGGCCGCGGGCCTCAGACTACGGCCACGGGGCTTTGGGCTCCGTTCCTCAGGCATGGGGCTTCGGGCTCCATTCCCCGGGCTCACCCCCTCCATCACCCCTGGCCCCTGCTGCCTGCCTCCCTCCCTCCCTCCCCATCCAGGGTTTAATTTGTCTCTGGGCTTGCTGAGGCTGGAGTAAATCTGCTGTGAAAAGTGGTATTTGTATGTTTGTTAATACCACTTTTCACAGCAGATTTAGTAGCTAGCTGGGAGGCTGTGAAAAGTGATATTAACATACAAGTATCAGGTTTCATAGCAGCAGACTTACCAGCTAATAAGTCTTTAAAAAAAAAAAAGCAAAAGAAACAACAACAAAAAATACAAGAAAAGGCAAAGCACCTTATTTGTGTTTCTATTCCGTTTAGGTCCATAAAGAATAGAGACAACTGTACATTATTTTTATTATTGAGTCTGCAAAAAAACAACACCTACGTAAGTAAATGTCAATGATTTGGACATGTGTATGCACGTATTTGTTTTATCCTAAATTTAAGTAAGTATTTTAGGGGAAAAAAATTCAGAGCAGCTACCAACAAGAGTTGGTGGCCACATTCTGAGGCCACCAAAAAATGTCTTGTGAGAACCCCCTGCCTGTGGATTCTCTTTGGGGGTGAGATGAGCTCCTGTTGGCTACACCTCAATACAAATAAAATAACAACAACAGAAAGCTGGAAATGGGGGTGGCTAGGTGTAGGAACCCCAAAGCCTAGACAACTTAGAGAAAGAGCCAAGCATTAGGATCACAAATAGACCCAACCAGGAGATATGCTCCTTGACAAAGCCGATGGGGCTTTCAGAACCAGCATCCCAGCTGGGACTGCTGCAAGGATGTTAACATGGCTGGCCCTGACCAAAGGGGCTCCCCTGCAGAAGCTGGCTTGAAACACATGCCACAGCATGCAGGTACTGGCTGGACACACTGCTGTGAGGAAGCTCACAACACTGTCCTCCTATCTGGCACCAGCATGGCCCTACAGCCAGCACTGACAGCGCCCTGCCGTGCACAAAGTCAAGGCATCATGAAGTCCCTCCATTGACCAGGAAGTAGAAGCCTAAAGAAGAATCAAACTGAAATAACTCAAGGACCCACCTCCTCCCTCTTGCCCATGTCTTCCTGCTCAGACACACACCCGCTGCGGCTCCCTGACAGAGCTGCCTTCCTGTGAGTCAGGCCACCGCGCTGATCCTCTGCCCAGAGGCCACGTCTCTGGAATAGAAATGAGGGGGCGCTCATGAATATGCAAAGCAGGGCAGGAAGACAGCCCGCTGGAATTAACATTTTTAATGAAATAATAACACGGGCGAGATGCTCGCTTTCCGGCCATTTCTTGACAGCTGTGGAAGCCCTGATAATACGGGGCGGGGGGGAGGAGGAGGCAGGGAGATAAACTGCTCCTGGAAGCTTGCAAAGGGCTCTTGTTTTTCTAACGCACTGTTTCGCTTGCTCCATTTTCGATTTTTAAGTCCACTCCCCCAGCGTTTCCTACCCAGAGACATGAATGCAGGCAGCCTCCGTCAGAGGCCGGGTAGCCCTGCTGAGTCAGCAGCCACTGACCGGGGGCCAGAGGGAACAGGGGGGCAAATCCATCCTTGCACAGAGGCCAGCGCACACCCTCGGCACCACTTAAGTCCTACTCACAAGGCCTAGGCACGGGCTGAAGCAGGACTTAAGTGGAGCCTAGACCATGTGCCAGCCCGCTGTACTAGGGTGAATTTCACCAACTGAGAGCAGAGTGGAGTTGTACCATACCCACCCCCTTCCATCCCTAAGACCTATTAAGTTGATCCAAAGCTACTTGCGGACCACATGCGAAATTGCATCTTTCCTGAGAAAACTGGCCACTGTGTCAAGTTATCAGTGCCCAGCTCCCAGCAGCGATTAGTGCCCAAATTCACAGCTCAATAAAGTCGAGTCACCTGGCAGGGAATCTCCCGGGACACCTCCAGTCCTCATCCACTGAGGACCAACAACCATGACCGACGATAGGTAGGTAGCCGCAATAGCTCCTCTGATCCCCAGAGGCCAAACTGGGTCAGCTGGCCGGTAGCTACCGATCGAGAAGCTCAGAGCCAATGGCCAAGATTTTCAGAGGTGACGAGTGATTCGGCGTGGTTCCCATTTTGGAGGGGCCCAATTTGAGACCCAGATAAGGGTCCTGATTTTCATCCACCCACTGAAGTTCAGGCCCCTGTAAGGTGTTGTGAGTGGCACACCCCCACAAAAATCAAGACACCCGATTGTCACCAGTCACTTTTGAAAAACTTGGCCAATAGGCCGGGTAGAACACAATGACATGAACTGGTGCCTTATCCCAGGCCCTGGGTGGAGTGCCACAGACCAGGGGTCTAGCACACACAAGCCAGTGAAGACGTACACCCACCTTAAATGCGGGTGCTGGTGTGCAGCACAGATGGGTGTAGGTGGGTGCTGGGGCTCACAGGTGGTGACTGAATGCCAATTTTCAAGCAGTCATTTATAATCAGGTTGTAGAGGAGGTGTGTGTTCGTTGGGGGAGGTTAGGGAAAGGCAAATGGGAATCAGAAGGATGGGATTTTTATGGTGTCAGATCCCATGAATCACCAGGAACTGCTGCTTGCCTGGTAGTTCCACAGATAGCATGACTACTCCCTGGTTCCTCAGACCAGTCATACAGCCCATTTACCAGACAGACCACAGTGTTTTCCACATCCAGGCTCTCCCTCCCAACAGCTGCTGCATCCCAAGGCTGAAAAGGATCTCTCATAATGGAAAACCAATCATTTTGCTATTGATTAGAAAGAGTGGAGAATTCAATTAGCAAGAATCCCATGTGTGCTGTGGGGCTGGTGGCGGGAGCAGAGACCAGGGATGCAGCGGGCTATGTAGAGATGTGGCTGCCAAAAGATATCGAGCCTGCATAATAATAAAAAATGAATTTTAATCTAATGGCACCTCGAGTCCCCGGCTGCAGCCGGGATCCCGGGATGAATATGCTAAAGGGTTCAGCATTGTAATGTAAAACATTACCCACATTATTGATCCCAGTCACACTGACTGGATACTCAAGTAGAGCGTGTTTCTACTTTCCCCTTGCTCTCTTCATTCTCCCCTCTCTCAGTGTAGCATAGGCAAGCAGGCGTTTCCATGAGTGCTTGAGCGTGGCCACAAATTAGGGAGACCAGCAGTCTGCTGACAAAGGCTGTCAGTCAATCCAGGACCAAAAGAGCCCAAGAGAACCACAGAGTCTATCTGAGTCCAGCAGCATCAACCAAGGATTCCTTTACACTCATTACAGCCGAGTCCTGTTCTTCTCTACCACAAAGGATGCTGCTCTGCTTTGCACCTTCTTTCATGCTGCCCCTACACTAGGAACGGCCTCCCCAAGTCCCCACTTAAAGCCCATCTGTCTCCATCATCCACTCGTGATGGAGTGGGTAAGGCTGTAAACTCCTCAGTGGTGTTGGCCTCTCGCACCAGACTGACACCAGTGAAATGCTGTGGGCTGCAGTGGATTCACGCCGGATCTCCACCAGAGTGCGGAAGATCAGAAGCAGGTCCTCTGCCTCTCACATGTCCGTGAAGGGCCGTGCACACTCACAGAGCTCTGAAAATGATGCACAATCGCAATCATCAAACTCTCCCCAGTATCCGTCTGACACCAGAAGCTGAGTCACAAGCATTCTTACAGCGCATGGGACTTTTCTTTCTGTTACCACAAAAGGCCTGATTTTTAAGAGAACCCGCAATTCCTATTAACTCCAGTTGGTTCTCAGCACCTCTGCAAATCAAACCCGACCTGTTGAACTCATAGAGCCACTCCATTGCTTTACACATCTAACACTTAACACACTGGACCAGGCTTTGAAGCTGGCACAGAGAGCTGTAATTGACAGCGGCATTTTGGGCTGTATAAGTAGGAGCATTGCCAGCAGATCGAGGGAAGTGATTATTCCCTTCTATTCGGCACTGGTGATGGCACATCTGGAGTATTACATCCAGTTTTGGGGCCTCCACGACAAAAAGGATGTGGACAAAATGGAGAGAGTCCAGCGGAGGGCATCGAAAATGATCAGGGGGTTGGGGCACATGACTTATGAGGAAAGGCTGAGGGAACTGGGCTTATTTAGTCTGCAGAAGAGTGAGGGGGGATTTGATAGCAGCCTTCAACTACCTGAAGGGGGGTTCCAAAGAGGATGGATCTAGACTGTTCTCAGTGGTGGCAGATGACCGAACAAGGAGCAATGGTCTCAAGTTGCAGTGAGGGAGGTCTAGGTTGGATATTAGGAAACACTATTTCACTAGTAGGGTGGTGAAGTACTGGAATGGGTTCCCTAGGGAGGTGGTGGAATCTCCATTCTTAGGGTTTTTAAGGCCCGGCTTGACAAAGCCCTGGCTGGGGTGATTTAGTTGGGGTTGGTCCTGCTTTGAGCAGGGGGTTGGACTAGATAACCTCTTGAGATCTCTTCCAACCCTAATATTCTATGATTCTGTGACACAACCTCTTGAAGCAAAGTTGGGGGCTAGGATTCATCATGGGGGAAGTGAGACCGCATCATTGCCACTTGCCCTTTATTGGGGTTTCCACTGGCGGGAGCAGCTCTAGGTCCCAATCCTGCCATTGGAGTCATGCCAGCATCCTCTCAGCCTGAGCAAAACCCCAGCGACATCAATGGGGCTCAGGACAGGGGAGCCAATTGCAGGATCGGGGCCTTGATTCTAACCAGCATCTCCACCGGAGGCTGCAGTGCTTTATGATATAGCACCAGACAGCTGGAGAAATCACTGGCGTCTTATATTTAATCTAATTTAATTTAGAAAAAGGGGGAGGGTTAGATTAATAAGCAATGTTAAAAATAGCAGGTGAAGCAATATGCTTGTCTGCTCCACCCTTCAGTATGAATCATTCAGCCGGAAGATTGTTCAGCGGAGCTCTGACAGCCTTGCGGGGTGTGCGACCAGGAGTCGGATCGTGCTCCCTGTTAAACATTTCCGCTCAGGTGCTGCTGGCTTCTGCATCTCCACCGAGGACACTGTGCTGTAGAGGAGCCGACGCGGACTGAAGTTTCTCGCTCTCTTTTGTCAGATCAAATTTACTGCAGTGGCAGAACGTTTCGGAGAGATCCGTCATTGCTTGTGGCGGTTTGGAAAGCTCCTAAATATGCTCTGTGCAATCGCGAATGTAAATTGAATAGAAGGAAAAGCAATTTGCGAGGCATTAAAATCCCTCTGCAGGTTCCTCTGAAATGATCGATGTCTGTAAACCATGATGTTATCGAGACGTAACTGAGTTAGGTGATACAATCCCATCCCTAAACTCATTGGCTTCACAGGCTGTTTCTTGGCAACTTACCAGACCACGGACTACATCCGCCACCGACCTTAGCAGACGGAGCTCTATTGACCCCGGTGGAGCTCTGCTTCCGCCAGCGACGCGTTTGATTCCATA